TTCACAAAAGAGAGGCACCATCATCTAAGATAATACACCCTAGAAGGACACTAATGACCGAAGACACCCTAGAAGGACACCAATGACCAACAGTTCACAATGGCTGTCCCGGGGAACATCCAGTTTCCTGGCTTTCACGGGTATTCATAGAGATCGCACCAAAAACAAAATAAAAAGGGTCCTGTGACTAAATCCTCCAATGTGGAAATGTGAATTGTGACCCTAAGGGGAGAAGGAAAGGACATAGCATTGTTCCCCAAACTTATTTGACCAAAGAACCATTTTTTTTCCTTGTAGCATCTCTTAGAACTAGTATCACAAAGAATGCCGTCTTAAGCAACACTGCTTCAGATATTCCAAAATTAAGTTACTGATATCCTACATACTGTTATTTTGTTCTGAATTGGTCATTACAGGTACTATCAAAAATAGTACCGGTGACTACTCAGCCCAAGAATTTCTCTGGTCTCCCTCACAGCTCTTTCAACTTCACCATGGCCCCTGCTGGTCTGCAAATCCTGAGAATCATCCTGATGCTGCTGGGCTGGGTGGAAGCACTGGTATCCTGCACCCTGCCCATGTGGAAGGTGACTGCCTTCATCGGCAACAGTGTCGTGGTGGTCCAGGTGGTGTGGGAGGGCCAGATGCAGTGCAAGGTGTACGACTCTCCGCTGGCTGTGCCCCAGGACCTGCAGGCTGTGCACTCCCTTTGTGTCATCACCCTCCTTGTGGCCCTGCTCGGCCTGCTGGTCTACCTTGCTGGAGCCAAGTGTACCACCTGTGTGGGAGAACAAAGATTCCAAGGCCCGCCTGGTGCTCACCTCTGGGATCATCTCCATCATCTCAGGGATCCTGACCCTGATCCCTGTCTGCTGAACTGCCAATGCCATCATCCAGGACTTCTACAACCCCCTGGTGGCAGAGGCCCAAAAGCCGGAGCTGGGGGCCTCCCTCTACCTGGGGTGGGTGGCTTCAGGCCTTTTGTTGCTGGGATGGGGGCTGCTGTGCTGCACTTGTCCTTCTGGGGGTTCCCAAAGCTCCAGCAATTACATGGCCTCCTACTCAGCAACTGTCCTGCATACTACCTCTCCGGATACCCCACCAAGAATTACGTCTGATGCCAGTGGTGAAGGGGGGAGGGGTGCATTGGCAATGGAGCCCTTGCCCCAGAGCTGGAGCCATCAAGAGGTGATGTGTGATCGCTCTGGGGTTGGTTTTAATCTTTTCTTTTTCCTCTTCTTATCTCAGGCAGATATTTTAAAAATCCATTTGATAACTGAACCAGACTCCCACCTGGGCTCTGCTGTTGGCATTTCTCACCTTTGGATGATGTAGTCAAAGAGGTGGTGCTTTGAGTTTCTGCATCTTTCTCCAGAGGACGTTCCTAGACATCGCCATCTTGGAAACCAACCTGGAGCTGTGGAACTGGTATGAAGGCTTGTTGTTCTGACAGCAAGATGGCCTGGCCCCAGGAGTTCCTGCAGCTGCTGGGGGCTGCGCTTCCCTGGACTTGCAGGGATAGCTGCCCCTTCCCAGTCAGGCCTTTGGAACCCCCAGGGGCTCCTGAGCTTCTCTTCTCACCTCTGGAAGAGCAAATGATGTGTTACCAAAGAACTGCCAACCTCCCAGTCTTCTGACCTCTGGCTCCTCCATCCTGTTGTCAGGTCCCAACTGTGCCGTAGACGCCTGCCCCTCACCTCCAACTCTGCAAGCTTCTACCCGTGCCCTGCCACACGCACAAGGTTTTACTGAATAAAGCATGTTTTATGGGGGAAAAAAAATAGTACCAGTAAAATTTTAAGGTCAACAAAATTTTTTTAGAAAAGTTAAATTAAGCATAAAGAGATGACTGAGGCATACACTTTTCTTCCAATGTATCCACAGGGGATTGGTCCCCCCCTTCCCCCACCAATCCGTGGATGTTCAAACCCCTTATATCAAATGATATTTACATACTTTAAATCATTTCCAGATAAATCGTTTCTACATTACTTATAAGACCTAATACAGCGTAAATGTTACGTAAATGGTTGTTATACTATCTACACTGGCTGTTTTGTTTTACTTTTTATTTACTTATTAATATTCCTGGTCTGCGGTTGGCTGTATCCGTACTGTGGATACAAGGCCCG